CATCGAAGTCCCGATACTAGAAAGCCTAACTGGCTCCTCCCCCTACCGTTGTTACAACTGCTAAAGCTGCCACGACAATCGTCTCTGCACTAGCTGCATAACACTCGTCGAAATACTCGACCATAACGGTCTTGATAGACCCAAACATCTCCGCCAACTGTCCCCGAACAATCTCAATCACCTCCTCCCGGATGATCTCACTGACACGACCCTCTAACAATGCTGGCCTATCCTAGCTGCCAACTCCTGATCCTAGCCTGGATCCGGTCTCAAGACGTCTCGTAACCACCATTCTGGTAAGACACCAGAAAGATCTATGATAATGCATAATATAAAGGGGACCAACTCCTTACCCAACCCTAGGGGTTGTGACTTCCTTGCTACGCGTATGGGTCCTGTGCTTTCAGTAGTACGGGCCCATACTACCTTCCACACCTACCCATATTTGTCTCAAGTATCATCACAACGCCCTAACAATGTACATAACATAGCGAGCGCTCAATCCTCACTCCTAGAGGAATGCTAAATATCTCATAACCGGCCTCCCGGCCTCACACAACCCACCCATCCATGAAACTTCCATCAACCCCTGCAGCACTAGTGTATGCTAGCCATACATAACGCTGGACCCTATAGACTTTCGAATATCCATTCCCACCCTAAGCCTTAATCAATAAGAACAGAACATAAGGGCAGATCAAACATTCTCAGGCTATAAGATCTTAATTATATATAACTGTGATGCATACACAAGTAACTACAGTAATGATGTCAATCTCATATAAGGAAAAACCCTAGGCTAGCAGTCATCATGTAATCAGGCAATTCTATCATGCAATTCCCGAACATCCTTAGCCTAGTACTAGCATGCTGTTCTAACATATCACATAATCAAATAACTGTATGGTATTTTGGGGTCTACTTACTGGCTCCGATACCAATTTGTCACGTCCCAAAAATTCGAGCCAATTTAAAACTTTTTGATTCAGTTGAAACCATTCAAATATTACAATTTGTTTTCAAAATAGTTCATACATCAGAGTTCCCATAAATCATAATCGTAAATCGAGGAAGTGTACGGTCACGCCTTCGCCTACCCGCGGCCATCCGCTGAACCTGAAACAATAAACTGAAACTGTAAGCCCGAAAGCTTAGTGAGTTACCCCCAAAATACCAACCTCATATAACCATAATCATATCATATCAATAAATACAGAACAACCATGCATCTCGAGTATACAGTGTGACTGGTCCGCCCGCACTGGGCCTTCAGTCCACCTGGTCCACTCTTTGAGTCTATAGTATGACTGGACCGCCCGCACCGGGCCTACAGTCTATCTGGATCTATCCCGAGCCTTCGGTATGACTGGACCGCCATACGGGCCTACAGTCTATCCGGACCGCTCGTAGGGTATGTTGGCCTTCAGCACGAAGCAGGACCGCCTCAACCCAAACATCAAGCAAATGACCATGTGCACATATAACAGGTAATCACACAACAGCCCATAGACAGACAAACCGATCTAGCAGATCATATAGTATAACAACATCCTAACCAGGATACCGACCTAACCAGGTCACTAAACATAATACCGTCCTAATTACCAGGACGCCGATCTAACAGATCAATAAACATATCAACAATCTTATAACCAGGATATCGACCTAACCGGCCACTAACATAGCATATCACCATCCTAACTACCAGGATGTAAATCAGTAAGCATATCATGCAATGATCCAAATACAAACCATAAAGGGCCGGCATTGGTGCCTTAGACCCTGTTGATATAGTGAGTATAACTCACCTTGCAATGCCGGACTGAACCACGAAAACACGCTTCCGAAACACTGCCCCAAACTCCAACACCTATAACCATCAATGATCCAATCATAAATACCCATAAGTTCCCAACCTTTCAAGGTACCCCCATAAGTCAGCTAATCAAACCCTGGTCAAAGTCAAAGTCATCAGTCAAGGTCAACAGTCCATGTTGACCCTAACTCGTCGAGTACCCTCGGCTACACGCCGAGTTCCTTGAAGTACTTGCCCACTCGCCGAGTCATCGGGGTGACTCGTCGAGTCCCTTCGGTTTACGATCGAAACTCTATGGCCACTCGTCGAGTTTCCTTCATGCAACTCGATGGATACGCACGCATACATAACTTGGGGAAATCTCATCCGACTCGCCGAGTTGTTCATACGACTCGTCGAGTCTATGGCAATCTCCAACGGACTCGCCGAGTTGTTCTTCCAACTCGTCGAGTTCATGCCTATCTTCGTATGATTCACCGAGTCGACCATGCGACTCGCCGAGTCCCTTCAGTCCTTTTTGCCATACAGACTCATTTGAGCCATGCAGCGGCCCCAAACTACAGATCCAAGCTTCTAAGGCATGCTTTTCACGTAAAGTTGCAAACTTTACGTGCATGCATAGCTATAAAGGCTCCAAATGTCCAATCCAAGCCTGAAATGGGGTTTCCTACCCAAGGAAGGCTTCATTCACGCCCAAACCAGAAACTTTATGACTCTAGGACCTAAGAAGGGTCCAGATCTGAAGTTACAACTTCAGATCTAGCCCATAGTCCACCTTATCAACTCAAGGATCCATAAAAGCCCCAAACTCAACCAAAAAGAGATCTAGAAGGGAAAAGAAGTAAAGGTGGCGACTTGATACCTCTGGAAGATGCTAACTGAGGTAGATTCTGATTCCCAGACTTTCCTTGCTCCAATTCCCTTGCCTTCCAAGTTCCTTTTCTCCAAAGATCTCCCTCCCAAGCTTAATACACACACAATAGAGCACCACACGAATTAGGGTTTCTTAAGAGCTCTCTAGAACTGCAAAGAGGCCAAAGGAGGCATAAGTCTTCTTAAATAGGGTGCAAAACCCCAGGATTTAGGGTTTCATCTGCCAGCTCCTACTCGTCGAGTCCCTTCTTGGACTCGGCGAGTAGGTCACTTAAACTCGCGGACCAACCCGCTGCTACTCGACGAGTCAGGCCACCAACTCGTCGAGTAGACCTTGAAATCATGAGAATTTATAACCATAAATTGATACCCGGGAATCGGGGCGTTACAGTGGGCTAAGGGCAGATCCACACATTCAACTGTTTAGTCGATCTGAATTATATATAATTTGTATTCACTAAGTAATCGCGGAAGTAACGAGTACGATCATATTACTCATTTATTATAGAAAATATAGGATTTTTTGGAGAACATAAACTAACACTTTCATAGATCAAATACAAACATTTTCATGAAGCAACTACAAACATTAAATACTAAATACTTATGAACTCACCAACTTAAATGTTGATACTCTCTTTCAAAATAACTTGTATTCTCAGGAAATCAGTAGACAGGTACGTTAGCATAGGTTTCGAGAAGACAGAGTATGTTCAAGACTCGTCTTTTATTTTGCTATACTTTTAGTGTCATACAACTATACAATGAACACACATGTATTAACTATATTATTAATGTAATGGATGTTGTTGCTTGTTTTACTATTTTACATTTGTTGTGATACTAAGCATGACGTCCTCCGCCCCCGAACGTTTCTGCCGTTCTGGTTTGGGGGTGTGACAGATTGGTATCAGAGCATTGTTTATAGTGAACTAAGTATATCAACTCATAAAAAGATATACAACTATAAACACAACGGGATTAAAACACTCTGACCAAGAGATTTTACCTTTTAAATAATAAAATATTTTATTAAAGTATACATACATGCATTCATACTAGAACTAGTATCACAAGAAGAACAAAACAGAAGTATTTAAATGTTGGACACTACGATCAAACCTGGACAGTTATGTAATCATATCTCGGATAAATATAGCCTGATCAACTATATTTATTTGAGATACGACCAACATGTGTTTGGGAGTGATGGTGGTGTTGCAACAGACTTAAAACTTACCAACTCCGTATACAAAGGAATAGTAGAACCAAACATAAAGTTAAAATACTATAGGAGTATTTTATGATACTATACAATAACAACAAGTCTAAAAACCTACAAATTCCGTATACCAAGAAGTTCTAGAAACAAGCATGCAATTAAAATACTATAGGAATACCTTAAGTACTAAAAATAACTTATGTGAAAACTAAGAGACCTTTACTGGTAAGGCTATAATTACCGAGTGTATACATTAAGGCTATATATAATTGAGATTTTATAGACCTAAAATTCCTGATTTTCACTCTACATTCTGTTCCTTGTTTGGTTGTGGTCTTAGAGTAGGATAACTTATTCGAATGTCTATTTGATCTTGGTTATATATGATCGGTATACACTACGTGATCATAGAAGGACCCGATTAAGATCATCATAAAAAGCTCAATAGAGATACTTTCGTGGTTATGTGAGATGTCTCTCTTAATGAGATCAAGAGTTTTAAGTCTCATCCGGAACATGAGTGTAATTGATGGGTAATTTAAGAGTAGATTATTATGTTTTGTCGTTGTAAAAAATTAGAGTAGGATGTTTGTGTATGTGTATTTGACAGTTCTATAAAAAAAATGATCAGCAATATGAAAAGGAAACAACGTAAAATAGTAAATGTATAACATTTTTATATATTATTATATACCTGGATTAATTGATTTAATTCATTAAACTGATAAAAGAAGTTTATTTTTACTATTTTTTTTTTGCAATAAGTGTCTCTAAAACGAAAGACAAAATACAGTAATATGTTAGTTTGATTTGGTTTAATTGATTAAATTTTTTAATATAAAAGGAATCACTATTATATAATTTTCAAACATGTACTATTTAATAAGTTAATAAAGATACTAATTATTTGACGATAATAAAATTGATTTATTTTTCAGAGTTGGAATTATACCAGGTAAGACATTAGCCTGTTCATAATAGGTATATGATTACTCTAGATTTAATTAATGACATTGACATGTATGTAGAGAAATTTGACTTGGCATATATTCTTGTTTTTGTATAACAAACAATTGGATTCAACAGCAGCTGTTATAAACAATTTGAATCACAAAGGAGTAAACAAATTACACGTACGTGAGTTGAAACTAGGTTACCAAAATTACACAAAAGGAAAGACCACTTTGGACTCTACCTCTTGAGGTGAATAAAAACCAAACCCCTCCAAAAAAAAAAAAATCAAACAAATTACTTAAATACCCTCTCCCTCCTCCTATTACAAATCCCCCACCCTATTGGCTTAACAGTTTGGTAATAAATGGTAATACAGCTGCAAGCAACGCCTTTGGACACTCCTCATGTGGCAGATGCCCACATCCAGATATTGCAACTAATCTCTGCAAGTATCATATTTTCCACTCACATAAATAATATAATTCACTTAAAATGCTATAAATTTAGATTTTTTTAAAAGAAAAAAACTTACAGAATTTACAAACTTGGATGCCATAAGTTGAATGGATTTTAAAGGAACAAGTGCATCTTCAGCTCCTGCAACAACCAAAAGTGGCAACTCCTCCACTGCTTTCACCAACAACGATTCATTTTGTTGTGAAAGAATTGTTTCAGATGACAATCTTCCGATCTCATGTAATGCTTCATCCCAACCTTCTACACATAGTGGTGCCTATTTTCATCATCCATGAAAAAACAATAAATTCAATATACTTTTTTTAATTTTAAAAAAATATGAATTTAATACCTTGTAGATACTTAAAACATCTGTTGTTAGCTTTGTAGCATCATACCATGCTCTTCTGTTAACAACTTGACAAATTTCTGTTCTAAGTAAAGGCCGAACCAAATGTTTTTTCCCTAAAGATGTACGCATCAAAATTCTAGCAAACCCTGGAACAACTTCTCTTGATAAGCTTGTTGTTAGTAACACCACACCTTTTATCTCCACCTGAAAATAAATAAAACATTAGTTGAGAAATTAAAAAAATAAAAACTGGTTAAATACTTAACTTATTACTTACATCAATAAAACTCCCGGATGCTTTCACTCTTTGTGCAGCCTTTAAAGCAAGAAGACCTCCATCATCATGACCAACAAGAACAACAGAAGAAAGCCCCATTTCTTTACAGAATGTTAAAAGCATATCAACCTGAAATAATATTAAACTGATCAATAAAGAATAAAATGGTATTTTATAATTTAAAATACATTATACATCACCTGTGTATCAAGCATGTAGGGGTTAGGTAAATTATTAGCTTCCCATTCCTGTCGTTTTGGTCTAGAAGTCAACCCCCATCCAGGTCGGTCAAACGCAGCAACAATACAATTAACATGACGAGATAAAACACCCATAACATGTCTCCATGAGAAAATCCCTCCTCCAAATCCATGCACTAATACAATCCCAAATTGCCCATTGATTTCAGGAACTTGTTCGAGTGAATGAGAAACATGTTTTTTAGTTTTACTAATCACACTCTCATTAGTACCCTCATCAAGGCTAAAAATGGGAATTTCTTCTAAAGAGGAAGTGGTGCCATCTAATAGAGGGGCATAAAGGGGAGATGTGTGGAGTTGATTGCTGTAACTCCTTCGAAGATGATATTGTGTTTTTGGGATAACGTTTATGGAAGGTCTTTCGAGTAGAGTGGAGGATAGAGTACGTGAAGGTGGATTAGGCATTGTGAGTTTGTAGTGAAGAGTGACACCATGGCAACTCATAAATAGACTATCAACGTCTGATAGGAATCTAACTGGAAGTTCGCCATCATTCCGATTTTGCCCTCCGAATGGTTTTCTTCTGATTTCGCTGTCGCTTTTTGGTGTTCTACCAGCACTAGGTGTTGGTGATCTTGGGACTTTAGCATACCCAGTTGTAAATAAAAGTTTGCTTGAAAGAACCTAAGTATTAGAAATTATATTCAGAAATCAGAAACCAGATGAAGCAATAAGCAGAAGCATTTAATATATATAAGTGAGTACGTGAGTATTACTTACTGATTCAGGGTCAATTCGGTGAAGCATGAGCTTTCTTCTTGCTCTGCAACTTGCTCGATAAGCGATGACTGTATGCCCAAGGGCAAAAACGACAGAAGACAGAAAGAGTACAGGCATCCCCCATGATTTCTTTAAATGGAGTCTTTGTCTTGAAGGAGATGATGAAGCTTCGGCCTCAAGTTGTGAATTAACAGTGAAAATGCAGACTTTAATGGATAAAAGGAGAACTGAAAAGGCAGAGCATAATGTCACTGTTCCAAGATACTGTCCGTGTGAGAGTACAGGGCTATCACAGATCATATAAACACCTGAAATAACAAAGAATATGGTAAGGTGTAAGCAAAGATAAGGGGCTTTTAATCCTTTTTCTTTTCGGTGATTATTTCATTTGATTAAACGTAGATAGCAATCAATGGAAGTTAAAGAAAAAGGTCAAAGGAAGACGATGAGAGCAAATCCACTAACCACACCATTATCAGTGGTTTCAAAAAAGGGTAGGTAACTTGATGATTTTAAGAGACCCATGTGCTATCAAGTGTGTATACTGTAACATCATTGTCATCGAGACGTGTAACAGTACTTTTTACTTTTCAGACTGCTATGAACCTTAATTTATAGGTACAAAGTTAATTAAAGAAAATTACGAGATAAATCAAAGATTAAAACAATAAAAACTGCTAAATCGAATTCAAACAGGAGCACAGACTCTGTTCTTGCGTCTTCAAGCAGTGCTGAGCAAATAAAATGCACATCACAGTAGCATGGAGTTCATAACTGATAGAAACAACAGAAAATAATACAAAACAAACAGGAAAAATATTTGAATTGTGATGTTGATGGTTGCGAGTTCGACCAATAATCAAAGCATGTGCATATGAACCGAAATGCCCATAGAAAAGAATACGCCAGGCAGCCATACAGAAAAAAATTAAGATTGATAAGAATCGTAAATGTGCACAAGGAAATAAACTTGCATACATACAGGTGATTATGAGAGATCTGACGACTGAAACCACGGGAATATCGGTCAACGAACTTCTAAAAGAGTATCTATTCAGATGCTCTTTGAAGCTGTAGCATCTAACGCAGGTAAAGTTCGAAATCAGAACACAAGGAACCAAAATATCACCGATTGCTACCAGAATAGGAAGCGATAACACCAATAACGACGACATCATAACCACCATGAAATATATCGTCCGTACGAATCTCCATATTTTCTCAAAAAACAACCCTCCCTTTCCGGCAGCCATACCGGTAACAATTTCAATCCTTACTTTTTCGAATTTCGACGATCGGTGATTCAAGTGGGTCCCCAGGAGATCTGAGATTGAAGGAACAAAAAATTGAAAACCCTAGCCGATGCCACGTGAAACGACAGCGTTTCAGCCATCTAAAGCCCAGCGGTCGCCGGCGAATGAAACGACGGACCTCTCGGTTGTTGTAATTCAAACAGAGAGGATAGTGAGCGGCATGGCTAGGGTTTGCAGAGAGCTTGAAAATGCGAAAGAGGGATTTGAAAAGGGTTTGAAAGAAGGGGACGATGTATGGAGGAGTCTGGTGGAAATTCGACGGAGAGAGCTCTCTCTTGTTGGTTGTTGTTTCCCGTGCTTTTTCAACGAGGGAGTGTTCTTTTGAATTAAAATCATTTTTTTTTTCTTTTTTCACAATATTTTATTAATTTAGTCATTTGATTCCATTTCTAACCAAATTAGTAAAATATCAATATAAATTTTGAGAGAGGTTGGGTACCATGTATTTTATTTTATCTAATATAATAGAATAAGATTAAATTGATATACAAATATTTATATCACTTTTTATTAGTATTTGATAGTATTGTATTATTACAATAATAAAATAACTACTCAAATATATCATTTAGAGCATTTCTAATCATGTATGTTTTAGTATAGTAGAATAAGATTGAACTGATATACAAATATTTTTGTCATTTTTTATAAGTATTTAAAAGTATTATATTATTATGTTAATAAAATAAATATTTGAATATTTTGTTTAGAGTATCTACAAATACATTTAATTTTTTTAAAATGTAAAATAGAGTTTAAAGTGCCTCCAACTTCGCTTTAAGTTTATTATACCCTTTAAAAATAGAATGTAGAAATAGAGCGTAAGAAGATTATATAATTTACATTTTAAATTTGAATATAGTAACAAAATAGAGTAGAGTTGGAGATTTCATTTAGACAACAACATTTTATATTTATTTATAAATAAAAATCGAAATAAATTCGATAGACTAAAATACAAATATTTATTTATTACAGTTTCATTTACATTGAAATGAAAAAAACAATTTTTTGAATTAATTTCAAATATATTAAGATCATTATTCGTATATAATTCAAGTTTTCGAAGTTGTTACATGGCCTCAAACCTCAAAACATTTTTTTCGCATCCATAAATTATAGGCAATACACATAAAAACCACTATACTTTGAATTTTTTCCAATTTAACCATTTGTATTTTGTTTTGGTCAATAAAAGCCACCCATTTTTGAAAGAATTTTCCTCTATGCCCCCTATTTTTAGTTTAGCATGTGTTAAATAAAAATCGAAATAAATTCGATAGACTAAAATACATTTGATATCTCAAATGTGATTAAAACTTACACTACTACAATGGTGATATAGCAAGTTAAGAAATTTTTTTAGTGATTTTCATTTTATGCTATTAATTAATTTGTTTGTTTGTTTTGTTCTATCAAATGTAAAACATAACTACCATAGTCACATTACCTTATTTATGAGTAATGGGTAAAAAGTGTGACCTTAGAATCAACCATTTATTACTACGGCGTGAGAATATTTATTTTGAAAGCAAGTGACAGTAAATTATTATAATCAAATAATAAAACATGTTTAAGAATATAGTATTTAAATATGTTTGTGTCGAGTGTCGACAATTTGTTGTATCATGATCCGATAAATTTTTATTATTTAATAAACTAATAACAAACAGTTTTATATGATTTTAAATCCAAATTATCTTGAAAAACCTTATTTAATTATAAATGATTTCAACACATTAATTAAAATTTAAACCTACCAACATATGAATTATTATGACAAAAATATAAAAAGCAAAATTATTGGAAAATGTTTAAAAAGAAAAAAGATATTATTGAAATAAATATATTTTATGTTTGGTTTGTAAATTTGTAAAAAAAATAAAAAAAATAAAAAAAAATAAAGCAAAATTATATAATATAACTAAAATATATTTTATTGAGCGTTTGTAACTTATGTCATTTTTAATAAAAATGATAAAAATATCTATCTAATTAAAAAATTCATTTATTAAAATTTTGCATGTTCAAACCTAGATATTTTTTCTTGAATTTTCATATAATATATAAAAAAGATAATTTTAACAAAACGAAAATACAAAATTGCATTGATAAAAGCAATTAATAAACATTGAGTTGTTAGTGATTTTAATGTCATCAATACATTTATTGTAGTCATTATTTTATTCAAGACGGACTAAGTTTCATTTGGTTATATTCTGAAGTAAGAGGTGTTGAGTGCATATTCGAATAACTAAAGAGGACTCTTGAACACGAGAGTTAGGGACAACCTCTATGGTCGTTCACTTAGGAGTTCAAAGCAAACTTAAAGATTTTTTAAAAAAATGTATGTATTTATGTGTGAAGATGTGTATGTGTAGGTAGAAGAAATGATCATGATATGTTTTGAACTTGACTAAACTGCACAAATGGTCTAAGTGGTTAGCTCAAAATTGCCATTTTGGTCCAAAAAAATTTAAACTAGCACCAGAGGTCCAAACTTTTCATTTTGTTGCAAGTTTGGTCCAATTTAATATAAACTTTTTTGTAATGATGATTTTACCCTTGTTTTTTTTAGTTTATTTATTTATTTAAATATTTTTAAGATTAAAAGAAAAATACTTCTCTCTCTCTCTCTCTCTCTCTCTCTCTCTCTCTCTCTCTGGAACATCAATAAACACAAAATCAAAACCCTTTGTTCTTGACTGCCCTATAGCGTCACCTTCATCTCATTATTACCCCCATCGAAAACGCACATCCGTTTTCGAACACCTCTTACCGTCGAGCCTTCAACCATCATTTGCAGATCTGGAAACCCTAAACCTATCTTTCGTAGCCACCGCCCTTGGTCGCAGATCTGGAACATCACTGTCGTTGGTGAGATCTCCATCAACGACGGTGACGATGATGCTACAGATTAGATCTGGAAAGACGAAGTAAAAAAAGCGGCGATCGTTGGGGAGGGAGGTTTCAGATATGAACAACCATCGGAAATGTCTTTCTCCGGTTCGATCTGTTGATGCTTGGTCGTATGAAGACGAAGGGTGGCATCATATTTTCCTAGATTGTTCTTTGTAGCGGCCATCACAAGTGTCATCACCGGCCTCAATGACTTTCTTTATGCCTGAGGTGTTTCTCACCTTCATGTCTCCACCACTTCCCTCATCATCGCCTCCTACAGGTGGGATTGTGGATCTACAGAGCATCACAAAGGTGGGTTTATAGGGTTTGCAGATCTGAGAGAGAGGGAGAGAAGAGTTAGCAGATTTGAAAAAGAAAGAGAAAAGGGCGAAAATCTGAGAACATCATCCTATTTCACCGGAGCTAGGGTTTTGGGTGGTGGCTTCCTACGTTGGGAAGAAGATGAAGATTTGTTTTTCAGTCTTGGAAAAGATGAAAAGAAAAGTGTTAGGGAAGGTTAGAGAGAGAGAGAGAGAGAGACTTAATTGTATTTTTTTATAATTAAAAAGTAATGGACGAAATAAAAAGAAAATAAAAAAACAAACAACAAGGGCAAAAAAAGTCATTTTAACCTCTTTCAATTTTAAAACAGACCAAACTCGCAACAAAATGAAAAGTTTTTATCTTTAATGCTAGTCCAAACCTTTTTGGACCAAAGTGGCAATTTGGAGCTAACCATAGGGACCATTTGTGCAGTTTTGTCTTTGAACTTTTAATTTGATTAAGACCAAACTGCAAAAATGGTCCATATGGTTAGCTGAAAATTGTTATTTTTGTCCTAAAAGGTTTGGACTAGCACCAGCGGTCCAAACTTTTTATTTTGTTGCGAGTTTGGTCAAACTTGTTTTTGGACTTTTTTATAATGATAATTGTGCCCTTACTTTTTTCCTTTTCAATTTATTTATTTATTTAAATACTTTTCTGATTAAAATAAAAATAAAAAATAAAATTTTCTCTTTTTATTTTATTTTTATATATTATTTTATAACAGAAATAAAAAAAAGAAGAAAAAAGAAAATACCCACCCCACCCACCCACCATTCTCTCTCTCTCTCTCTCTCTATATATATATATATATATATATATATATATATATATATATATATATATATATCTCACCCGCACCACCATTCTCTACCCTTTCTCTCTCTCTAGAAAAAAAAAACACATACCAAAAAGAAAACCCCACAATAACCTTTGAACCAATAAACCCTCTACAACTCTCTAATTCCAATGCCCCAGGCTGGCTTAACAACACCAACTACACCGTCGATATATCAACCATCAACGACGTTGTATCCACTCACTACCATCACTACAACGAACCCGAGGACAACGAAGAAGAAACAGCAGCAGAAGTAGAGGAAAGGCAATGTCGTATGTAGGAAAAAGATGGGTGAGAGATATAGATTTTAATAGCAGCGAGGGCCTTCAGATCGACGGTGAGAGGGGTAAATTTGAAGCGACGACAAAACCCTAAATGGATCTTCATAGCAGTGACAACGAAACCCTAATCGGAGATAGTGTTTGATGTGGCTCCGATGACCTCGAGCTTCATCTCTATCCTTCTTTGTCTTTCCTAGGATTAGTGTTACCATAACGACTAGTTAAACTGTTGAAGACTCTGAAAATCGACACCTTTCTCTTCAATGACGTCGCCTCGTCAGCGTCTTTTATGATAATTTTAAGGTAGTTGTAACTTCACGCCATTTTGGAATCATCTACGAAGCAAATTCTTTCCCGAACTTCATTGCTGGTGAGTGGTGAGGTTTTTGAAATTAGAAAAATGAAAAATCCCAAAATATGTGGAGTGTTGAACTAGGGATGAATGAACATATATCTTTATTGATGATAATTTCGTTATGTTTTCCTTTTCCTCACATTTTGTCCAAATGAAAAGGGAAGAAACCAACCCACTTTCAGCTTTTTATGGCGTGTTTCAAAGAATTAATCAATTAGAGTTGGTCTTGTTTTAAGAGAGAGTGGGGGTGGGTGGGCATTTTATTTTAATCAGAATAGTATTTAAATAAATAAATAAACTTGAAATAAAAAAATAAGGGCAAAATTGTCATCATAAAAATGTTCAAAACAAGTTGGACCAAACTCGCAACAAAATGAAAATTTTGGACCTCTGGTGCTAGTCCAAACCTTTTTGGATCACAGTGACAATTTTCAGCTAACCATATGGACTATTTTACAGTTTTGTCTTTGATTACTCATGGTTAAAATCAGGAGGATATGAGAGATATTTCTGTCTCTTTAATAAAAACATAATAAATAAAATCTAAGATCTTTTCTTTTAGCCAAAGAGCTCCAATTCATTCAACCACAAACTTTAATGGAATTTTAAGAATTCAAATTTCTTTGATTTTGT